TTCCCGACCCAGTTAAGTCTTGCAAGACCTGGACCATGAAATGCATCATACTGTGAAGTTGCTGTTATGTACGAGTCCGGAATGGAATGGTCCCCAAGTCCCAGAGGTGAATCACAACTTCCTGATAATAAGAGGCGCACATTAATGAAGTCCATAAAACATTCTGGGACATAATTAAACACCAAATAAACATTGCATATTGATCAAGTTATTTAGGAATTTTTAAAAAGACTTATATGCATAGCCGACCACAGTAGAATTAGCTCGTGATTGTTCTTCTGCCATCAAGTGGGTGTCCGGATGTTTCTAAACACAAGTAAACATGCCGCAAACTTGGAACAACTTTGTGTAAATTTCGGTGGTTTTTTTTTTTTGTTTTTTTTTTAAGGGAGACGGTGGGCATATTTCACTCAAATTGTTTTTATTAAACTATGAAGATTAAAATGCCCCTGAAGCTCCCTGATTGGAATTTCGGTGCCCCCTACAGTTGTGTTTGATGCCATGAAATCTAGTCTGCCCAAATTTGAATACATAGTGTCTAGATATTTTGGCATCAGATTTTCAGTTGTGATTCTGCACCAACATTAAATCTGGAGCGCAATTCGTCAATAAATTTTTTTTATTTATATCCCATTTTCACCATTTTCAACATCTCATCATTGTTGTCGTTATTCTGTTCCAAACGCGATCGCCGCACGTTGTATTTCATGAAATGCTGTTGTAAATTGACTCAAGATTATATGATTGAAGTTTTAAAAGAAGATGAATACACAAAACTCACCTTTAACGAACCAAACTCCGAAATGTTCCTTTGAAAAGACAAACGCGGTGTTGATATTGACTAAATGTGAAAACATTTCAGGGGAAACGATATTTTTCTTTTTGAAAATTAAAAAAATCACTATGAATTGTTACAAACCTTTTGAATCCAGAACAGCAACATATACACGAAAGACTTTGCTTTCATTCTCGTGAAATATTTCAAAAGTTTGAACAAACGGCGTACTTCGGGATTAAGATCTTTTCCCGAGTCTTTATCAAGTTAGATAAATTATTAATCATGATTCTGGGCAATTCGCTTTGTTAAAATAGTCTTCAAGTATATATGATTTGTTTCGGTTTTACGTCAAAGGGTTTGCATTATGTATCATTATCATCTCAATCATAGCGACCAAAAAACTGATATTTAGAACAGTTTTACCCAGGGCGAGCTTTCATCGATTTGCTGCCCCGGTCTTGGTTATTAAAAGTATGTCATAGTGATTTGTGCTATTTGTGCGGACGCTTAAAACTGAGACCTCAGTTTTAATGCAATTATGTCATCAAAACCGAACGACAGCGTGCGCACAGCAGGTTGAATTGCTTGTCAAAATTTTTCCTCCCTTTTCTGTCCTTTGGATCTCTCTGGAAAGTTCTCTTCAGTTAATCAATCTGAGTGTTTGCATACACATTTTCTGTGCGTTTGAAAATCTTGAGTGTGATTAGATTAAAGAAAATTTAACTCTGGACACACTGATAAAGGAGAGTCTTTTTAGTAATTTTATAGGTTATCATTTACAGAAAAATAGTAAATTATTTTTAGTGAAATTTTCCAAAGTTTCGCTTCAGTTCAAAGGTCAGCCGACCAGCCGATGCAAAGAATTTTGGGAGCAGCTTGAGAAGAGATGGGGTTGTTTCCCCGGCATGCATTGCACGATACTTAGCATATTTCTAGAAGCGTTTTCAAATACACTGTTATCATAAATAACAAACGCTTAGCTTTGTCAGTAACGACTAAAATGAAATTGTTCAAAACCACGCCAGGCTATTGCAGAAATCTATACAGCTTCTGCATGAAGGCTGGCCCCAATTACAATTTTGTTTATCAGGTTACCGAAGAAAGCTTCCTGGATGTGGTAGTCGGAAATAATTTTCTCTTGGCAAATAATGCATTAAAAAATATTTATTTATTCATTCATCCATTCATTCACTCTTTCAAGTATATATTCATACGTTTATTACCTGTAAGCTTTCTTATTCATCTATATGATAATTTATTTACATATCTATTTAATGGCGTATATATTCATTTATTATCGGAAGTTCTTCAGTTGCGTACCGAAAAAAAAAAGACGAAGGTTTTATATTCGTGACATTGAGCCGACAAACAAACTTTATATGTGAGAACGAACCGATGAAAACTCAAAGGAAATACACGTGACCTGGGAAAATTAAAAGATACTCGCAAGATAAATCAAGCTGACTAAGAGGATTTATTGATATATGCCGCAAGTTTTTTTTCGTGAGTTTCAACCACAAAAATGCCTAGCAAAGGAATACCAACTTAAATAATTGCAAAAGTAACTTAACACAAAACTGTTTTATTTCCCGTTTGTAATAAATAATTAGGCTGGTCTTTAGAAAGATATTAAAGCCTATGCACAGGTAGGGTCTAACTTCTTCATTGATGTAAGAATGAAAATTACGAGGCCGTAAATTCATATATAACTATTAGGCTTAAATTTCCTGAGCACAATATACTCATTCGTGACCCCTATCTATTTATTTGGATAAAGAGTTGGTCTTTCTTATAATCCTATACATGTTTACTATCTTTTCGTGAATCCCAAACAAGGGCCTAAGGAATGCTAACTTTTCAGCTTCAACAAGCAAAAAATATTTTAAAAGAAACCTTTTCCAAGATTCCAGCGCAAACGTGTTACGGTATTTATTTAAGAAAAGAGCGAGCCGTTTATGATGTCAAAATTTTATGTTTCGAGCGCGAAATTAAAATGGCGTTCCTGACAACTTTAATGAAAGTAGAATTGAAGAGAAAAGGTTATCGTTAGAAAATTGTTATTTCTTTTGGAAGAAGTCGACGCATTAAGCAATGTGTTTAGGTGAATCTCGGTTGGTTAAATCTGTCACTGTGGGTGACTGATTACTTTCGCAATAAGACTACACATATTCCTCTTTAGCTCACGGCTGCCTCACTTTTGAGAGGCAGAAATTCAGCCAACACGGCCCTAAAAATTTTGGTGAGACGTTTTGCTGAAAAGCGTACTAGACCTGAAAATGAGGCAGGTGATTAAATCATTAATTAATATACTGCAAACCCTTAAATCCTTGGATCCAAGTGAACAAAATTTTGGCTAGCATGACAGCAAAAACCAAAATATAATGTTCTGAGCCATGCTCTTATAGATTTAATTTCTCGAACAGTAGGAAAAAAAAACATCAGGAATAACGATAAATAATAAAACACCAATAAGCGAGATTATATCTAATTTAAAAAGAGGTAAAAGCTCCATGTTTTTGTGGGTCAATAACTGAATAATCTTTAGGCCAAAGGTCGCGAACTCCACACCTATCGGCTTAGAAATTCACCGGATCTTCTCACTTTCAAGTAGTTTAAAATCATATTCACCAATTGAAAATAGTGCATTTATTTACTTATAAATTTTGTGTAGTTCCAGTTTTATTAGGCGGAGATATTGTAAACAAGAGAATGCTTTGCACAACATCTTTTTTGGAGTTTAAAGATATCTTTCACAGACTGACAAGTCGTAAAAAGAAACAGAAAATGAACTCGCTCCAAAAAAATGTGGGGTTAAAATGAATGCAAAAGACCGATCAAATAGATTTTAACATTTACTGTATAATGAAATAATTTGATTACCGTTCCTAAGTCAATCTTGATTCAGCGATGTTGAGTGCAAGTTCAACCGAATTTCTATCATTGCATGACTTGGTGTCAAAATAGCAAAAATAGTTCTAAGGTGTTTATCCGTAACTGAGAACGCCTGCATTAACTGCGTCAAAAGCGTTCTTTTCTGGACTATTATTATCTATTTATTGCACTAATACCCAACAGTGATTTATCAGAATCGTTGATCTGACCAGCCTGATTCAGATAATGTTATTAAAAGATAGCGGTGAGTTGGAAATCTGTCTTCATAGGAAATGGGCAAAGTGTAAATAGTTTTGTCATCATTTCTGTTGTTCAAAAGACTAAAACATGGTTCTTTAGGTGACAGTTGTTGCCGACCGTAATAGATCACTCCAATTTAAACATATTACGCAATAACAATGAGTATTCAAAAGCTTCAATTTACAAACTTGTTCAGTTGCTCTCAGGCAATTAGGAATAAAATAAGTTTTCTGAAATTCATATCTTTTCCTTAAGGAAAGCTGGAAAACGTCCTGTTCGTTTCTAAAAATTGCGGAGCATTCTATTTGAGATAAAATCAAACTTTTCACAATTTCAGATGGTGTTTAGTAAAATATGTGCAATAATAACTATATGCCGATGTCTCTGGAAATGAAAATTGTTCAGTTTCCTTGAGGTGTCAAGCCCCCTAAACTTTATTTCATAAATTTCCTAAAAACAAACAAACCGAACTTCTGACGCACTAAATACCCAAAGCTCATTCAAAAGGTTGCAGTGATTTCCATGATCAAATGCTGGCCATAAGGCTTAATTTGATGTCCCTAAAAACCAATTAAAAAAGTCATTATAACAAGTTAAATGGCTCTATCTATTACGCTGCGAAAATGACGACATAAAGGTATATTGATAACCATGGTTTCCCCGACAACTGTGATCCATATTAGTTAATTGAAATCCTTACAATGGCAAAATTAGAGAATGAGAAGAATCGATTTTTCGAAACAAAAACCTCACGCGTCTTATCCCTTAATTCCAATTATAGAGTTCTTATGGCAATAACAAAAATCTTTTGTCTGCAAAACAAACATGGTGCAGATGGCTAGCGTGTTAAGGCTTCTTTTGAGCTGTTGTAATTATAAGCCTAAATTGCCTCACCTCGTATCTTAACAAGATTTTGCAAGGTAACTTATGGCTCACTAAAATTTTATGAATAGCTGTAACGACGTTTAATTACCAATTCACTGCTCATTATTATGTAATTAGCGTGTTCATTTATCTGTTTGATCTTGAACTCTGAAATAAATCCGAGAAAATCATCGATCCCATATGCCACTTCTGGGGTAAATCTCGAGCAATAAACAGTATTAAAAAGAAATGGATCTCAAGCAAACGGAGAGTTATTTTCGCGGCTACGTTTTTCTTCCATGCTGCAACGAAGAGCATTCGTATTTTCATGGGTATCAACCCAGTTATTACCCCTCGCAAGTTTCAAAATGTGACGCCATTTTACAAACAAGAAGAGGTCATCAAGTTTCTCATACATCCCGGTTTACGCCACACAGTGGTGAATATCGGTTGTTATTGCCCGCCACTCAGAGGGATGCACGACCACAGCCAAATGAAATTTTCCAACATAAACTCAGCATAGGAAATTTGCCTGAGAAGGCATTATCAAGAGGTAATCACTTGAAATAATAGTTTTAATGTTTTTCTTACATCTCTTTTGGTAATTTGCCTCTTAGACTAATTTTGCAAACGTCGAAAATTAGCTAACTGTATAATGGCAAAACACCTAAGAGTGCATGACCTTGTTAAAAAAACTGCACTCGGCCTTTCTTGAATATCGCTCATCTTTAACATACTGCACACAAACTTGAGAAACACAGAGAAGCCTTAAATAATAATCGGATGACAATAAGCTTAAATGAAACAAAAATCTTACCTTACTATCGCAGATTTTCGCGAACACCGAGGTTTGAAAACGGAGGCTGGATACAAAAGGAAGCGAAACCGCACAATCTTCACCACAGACCAGTTGCAGCGGCTTGAAAATGAGTTCGATCGTCAACAGTATGTAGTTGGTACTCAAAGATTTTACCTTGCTGCTGACTTGGGGCTGAACGAAACACAGGTTAAAGTCTGGTTCCAGAATCGCAGAATTAAGTGGAGAAAAGAGAATTTAAGTCATCTGGGAAACTCAAAAAGTAACTGTGAAGCAGAAAACTTACATTTGTAGAAAGAAACAATGTCTTGTGTAATTTTAAAAATAGCTTGCGTTGTTTTCAAGAAAAATGTAGAGAGCAAATCAAATTTTTATAATAAGGCTAGAAACCAGTAGCGAAGTAATCCTAATCAAAGATGTTATATGGAGATCTGTCGTTGTTTCCTGCAGCTTTCAATAATTCCAGTGAATCTTATTTCGATAAAATTCCAACTCCCTATCCTTTCTTTTCAAACGTCGCGTCTAATTGAATATTTGACCCTATCACTCTCGGAAGAAACCAATCCTCACAATAGTCAATACTTGGTCAGGTAGACATGAAGTAATGAAACGAAAGAGAAATATAAGTTATAATTAGTTGGTACTGTTTGGTTCAGGATCATCTGCAAGAGCCTAAACTATAATACTGTAAACAGATGAGAGGTCTTAGTGTTAAATCATCTACATTATTTCAGAGAAAAGACAGTTTGTAGGAAGAACGATCTATTACTGAGTCAGTTTTGCGCCAGCTCATTTACGCCGAGTCCTGCGGAGCCTCAAATCATAGGATTATCAAAATTCGTTGGCAAGTAACAAGCATAAGCAAAACTTTGCGAAATTAGGAGGGGAGGACTATACGCGCTCCCTTTCTTAGGGAAGTAGTTCTATATTATACCAAGTGAACTCTAAATAAGCAGGCGGGCGGGCTAAACGAATAAAATGAACATACGAAGTATTTCATCAAGTTTTATTGTCTTATGAAATTTAGCAGAAAAGCTGTAAACACTGGACGACGAAGTTATTCGTCTACAAAAACTAAACCCAAAGTTCGTCATACGTGATCCGCCTTAATCTTTTCCATCGTAACTCATCATCGGTTGTCTTTGATTCAGTCTTGGCTCTTTGGGTTTTTTCCTTATCTAGACCGTTTCCATTTTGAGGTACGCTAATTTTTTAACACAATTTTTTTTTATGGGTTGTCGTCTTCAAGATGTAATACTTTCACTTCGAAACAGGACTTAAACGACCTAAAACGCATGAAATTTATTCGACATCGTAAATGAAAGGATTCCCATTTTCTACTTTACTATCAGAAGCCAATTTTGACAACTATGATCGCGGGAACTATCAAAAGAACTTTGTTTGCAAAAGAGCAACATATCCGACCCGATACTCCCCCACCGGGAGAGGCAGGGGCTGTCGACGTTGCACTTGCTTCTGTGTGAGTAGGGGTAGTGGTTTTTGTTTCTTCTTTGATTGGTAAAACGTTCTGGCTAAACTGGAAACGATAATTTCCAGGAGGAGAATATCTAATCACCAAAACGAATCTGCCATCCTTTCTGGTGGCATATGCTGCTCCTATCTGTTTTGTGTTTTTCCACACAACCTGTAAGAAATATTTGAAAAAAATTAAAACTAGATAAACATTTGTAACTCTATCTTATCAATAAAACGTCAGGAAAAGTGTAAGGCTCTCTTTTCTACAAATTATCTTTGACTGAGACGAGCGATGATTGACTTTGAATCGCGAAGCAACTGGCTATAGCGAATGTCCTTCTGATTGGAATGCTGATTAGTTCAGTTTGACTTACCCAATTCAAGTATTTTCTCTGTGCCAGACTTTTTTCACGAGTTAGTAAGTTCAATTACCTGAGTGAAGTGACCTGTCCTTAGAGAAAATCCTGGGTTGTTATAGTCATAATATTTGACCTCATCGTAGAAAGCTTTCGTTGCAGAGGTACAGGGTTCCATAGGCTTGCGAGAGGACAAATATAGGTTCTCTCCCACCGGGCTGTTTGCTGCGTGTTGAAACAGATTGTTTTCTGCCAGATAGTCCGCCCAGGATTGCGCACCTTGCGCGAGGTTGTCGCTCCAGACTAAAGGGCCGACCTACAGTTTAAAAATGAAATTTTCAGGAATTCAATGCTGGTGTAAGTTTGAAACTGTCGAAATTCGAAGTCTTCGAGATAACGGATTTAAAAATAAAGATATAAATGTAAAGGTATCAGATATACGTAATGGAAACGACCACGAAACTTACTCGTATATGTATAATCTGCATTACCTTTCGCTCATCAACTGAGGTCACTAATTGACGCCCACGCTCAGCGAATTCTTTGTTAAATTTTGAGCTCGGGATTTGTATCGCAAGAGGGTTGATGAGGTCTAGGCCCAAATCACCAAGTACGCATAGAAATAGACACCCATAGAAATAGACACCCAATAATCTAATTGTCTTGACAAAAATCTACAAGTGGTTCAAAAGAAAGCGACTGTCACGCTTCAGCAAAGAGAGCTTGAAGTTTCTATTTCGAGCTGTTTTACTTTGTTTGCAGCTTAAGTTTTTAAATACAGGCTTATAATAATTTACCTGGTGCCTACTGCGATATTCATTATGCCACTTCACACACTGATCTTTGAATGAGAGAGCTGCATCCGCTACAAGTAATAAGGTGAAAAATGTTATTGAAGAATAAAGGAAAAACAAACAGACAAAATTATGGACGAAACAAAAAGAAAATTACACACAATCTTTTTTTTAAAAGAAGAATCAATCGATGAACCGGTAATGAAATGAGAGAGCAAGCTGAAAAAAAAACTGAGCTGGGAAACGAAGAACATTTACCGAACGATTAAACAATAGAATCGAAGACAAAACGATCGAGCAAATTATTTCCGAAAGGATCCGGAATGAAGATAAGTATGTGAGCGTATCGCGAAAAAATTCAACCACGGAACAACTGCATATCAAGGGCGGCTTTCCTGCTTAATTTAGCATCATTTGAATTTCGTGACCAATTAGGAAAAATAGCAACAAACCGCTTAATGCAATATAACAAATTGAGTGGCTGGAAGTGGGCGAAGAGGGCTTTACAAAACAAATGCTCGCTAAAGAAATGTTTAAAGCAAACCGAGAAAGGCCGGTAGTCGAAAATAAGCTTGTAAAATGTCACCTCTCTGCTATTACAGCAGTTATGACACTTTCTCTTGAACTCAACGCTTTAGTTCCCAGTTTAATTCAGAGCGACTGCGTTTTCCGTCGATTTTCAACTTTTACTTGCAAATTCGAATATTGGAAACTAAGGTACGATTGAAAACATCTCGAAAACTACAATTAAGTTTTCTGTTTCATGCATGAAGCGAAATGTCACGGCAAGTTTTCATGCGTCGCTTATCTAAGTAAGTTTAAATGAGTCCATGAGCATTATGCATAGAGTAAGTGAAAATGAACCACTTTTATATATGAACAGAATCAAAACAATTAACGTGTCTGCACGTGATACAGTAAGTGGTTCGTTTAAGACTCTGATTCCTAACAGACGCGCTTGAAACTAGACATAAATGTCCTGAGCATCGAAACTAAGCATTGGGAAAGGAAAACTGAAAAAAATTGCCGAGCGACATGCCCGAGTTGCAATATTTCTTAAAACATGTTGTGACCTACAAGTGAAATTTCCGCTTACTAAAAGACTCAAATGAGATTTGAAAGGATCTTACCCTTGTCAAATGCGACATTGAGAAACATGAACGTAGTTATCAGTAAATCAGTCCAGTTCATTGTAGACCTAAGAACCGGTACCCCTCTTCTTCAGTGGCTGATATGATGCGATGTGGTGCGTGTGTATGTTTTAGCCTAGTACCGCTCAGCTGTCGAGTTATTTATAACTGCTATACTTGATTTAAAATAGACAGATAAATGTATTTGCATAAAATATAAACATAAGTTTTGTGGCATCAGAAGTTTATTTTCGATTGCCGCGGTCACGAATGTTAAAAAGTAACGAAGTAGAAGTTCGCAATATTTCGTACACAGCCGTCCGCTCTCAGAAGATAATCTAAAGTGGCCTTCTGTCTAAATTTTCCTTGAAGGCGAAGTGCAGGAATGAACGATAGAAATGCGTGGTCGCCATGGCGAAGATTAACGGCTACCAGCAGACAGCCACAGCAGGTGTCAGAAACCTACCTGCTGATTATTGGTTCCAGTATTTTTATTTCACAGTTTCATACCAAGAGTCGTAAATGGTTGAAATTAGTTCAGAACCAAATAGTAATTTAAACAATCAAAATAACAAACAGGAATCTTAATATCTGCCTTCAACTTTGAAACAGCTCTTACTTATAATCGGTAAATACTTGATTTCGATTTCTCTAATGAACTTTCAAAACTAAGAATGCTGTATAAGGAAGTTCAAAGATTTTCCCAAGCTCGTGCAATACCCGCTGTGTAAGATTATTCGAGTGCAGATCTCTTAACATAATCAATTTAAGCCATGTACTTTGAATAGTATGCTTTTATTGAATTTTTTGGATTTTTTAAGTGGAAAGAACCGAGTGCGAGGCGAGTGCGACGCCATGCGCGGGTTGAAAAGCTCCTCACTCCATCCGCGACCCGCCCTCGCATTCTCCTCGCATTTTCATGCACTCGAATGAAATACGCAAAAGAAACGCCTGTTCTACACCCTAAGAGCACGATTTTGAAATTAAGTGTTTTTAAATTATAAATTCGTTTGTAAAGAGATGAAAGAAAAATGCCAAATGGGCCTCTATTAATGATGACTATAAATCAGATTTACTTCGCTGCCTGCACGTAGAGGTAAAACTCTCATAAGGCAACCATTACATAATATTGCATAAATGTCACTATGTTACGATCAAAATCTGTCAGACCTGGTAACATACAATGCATTCATGTATTTTTAATTTCACCGGGTCAATAACATATTAGTCAGAGAGTCAGAGAGGAAATTTGGTGCTCTACCTACCAAGTTACGTCAAATAGCCTGGCAAACAAAAGGTACTTACCTACGTACAAATCACTTGGAAGAAGAAAAAATGCGATAAATGCAAGAAACATTTTCTCAGTACTGGTTTTGTTCGGTCGTCATTGCAGCATACAGTAAGATGAGATCAGAAAAGGCACATCCCACTATTTGGGACGTTTGTCCGTCAACATTGGCGACAAAGCAATAAAAAAAGCTCCCCTGCGGCGTCGACAAAAATTTGGATCGGACCGGATCGGATCGGATCACAGACTGGATCAAGGATCGGGTCACGTAAACCATATGCTAAACTGCGTAAAATCCGCAAACCGAAAAGAACAGCAAAACCGAAAAACCGAACTAAAAATAGCCAAAACTCCAAAACCGAAAATCCCAATGCCCCCCTCCTGATTGAAGAATGATATGTACCTTTCACTTGCCTTTGTCCATGGCGTTATTACACAACACTCCTCGACATAGCCGTAAAAGAGACTACATAGAGTTGTGGGGCAAAAAAACTTTCAAATGGACTGGCACTTCATTATGTCACGGAGACTCTATTTTGGCTTGTTACGCAACATCTCTAATTTTCATTGAAAATATTTTAATTTTTTCACATCCCCTTTTTTTTAACTCTTTATTATTTTGTAAACGATTTGATTGTGTATTTTCAAAACTCTTCTTTTTTCCGGACCGTGATCCGATGCGTCAGGTTTTTGGGGGGAAAAACTTTCAGTGGGGCCTGCGTTCAATTATGCCACGCGGACCTTATTTTGGCTTGTCACGCAAAAGTTCTAATTTCATTTGACAGGATCCGATCCATGATCCGCGATCCGATCCGTCATCCGATCGGTGATCCGGTCCCTGATCCAATCTGTGATCCGACCCGGTCCGATCCAGATTTTGTCGACGCCGAGCTCCCCTAAGAAAAATCCAGAATCCTAAAGAGGAATCGATGAACTAAACATTGTCTGCAAGATTTATCTTCTTCCCAAACATTGGAGAACGACGCTGCGATGAACCCTGCCCTGATTAACAAACAATTCATCGTTGTTGGAAATTTAAAATTCTGTGCACATATGCAATAACTAAACTTTGCGTTATCTATCAATTAATCATCTGAGAAGGGGTGCAAGGAAAATGTGCGCCCTCTCGTTGGGAGGCCTGTGTCAACAACCCCACAAATCTTTGCGAGCCGAAACTTGTGTGGCAGAGAACTGGGCCGAGTATTCGAGCGGAAAATTCGAAAATCGTTTGGTTCTCAAACTATCAGTTTGCCTTTGGGAAATAGGCATTTTTTTGTCCTAATTCATTAAAAAGTCAAATGTCTAAGAAATCAAGAGTGGTAAAGACGTATGGAAGGCATAAACATCGGACTGTGAAGGCTCAAATTTGGCTGTCCCCTGACGAAAATGTTCATTCCCCGTTTGGAAACGGTTTCCCCTCCAAAATCGAAGCAAGCTCATCGAAAAATGTTTTCAAGCCGAAGTCGTCAAAATGGTGAGACACATCTCTGTTATTCCTGGTTAAAACAGCCTCGTTTTACCGAGGTGAGATGAGAACCTTAATCGGAGCAAATCGATGACTGACATTCTCTGAACTCTATCGTCCAATGGTTTTTTGTCAGGTGGAATTTTGCGACAAAACCACATTTCCGAGCTAAATTGCGATCTCCCTGTTTACAAAAATTCACTGGAAAAATGGAAACAAATGACAAGAAGTGTTTTATTACTTGTAGGCAATCTAATGGTTGAGTGTTTTATTTTGTCAGGTCCAAGCACTCGAACAAAGTTACAACCTCACGAGCTTCATCTGCTTACGAAAGCTCTGCGATTCCAATCGTTGAGAAACAAGAACTTATAATAATCGATGACAAAGAAAACAGCCATACTTCAAATTCGTCAGCTGATGACCAAAAGGAGAGGAAGTTCAAAAGGAAAAGGCAAACACTATTCAGTAAATGTACGCCGCTATCAACACAAAGAGGTTCAAATGTCGTTGGTTCAACTTGTCCGTCGGAAAGTGAAAAGTCGGTAGTCAAAACACCTGAGGTTGTTTTGGTGAATGATAGTTTAGAGATTAGAGAGAAAAGCACCCGCCATATTCACGATGTCATTTGTGTTGAAGACAGCGTAGAAGATGTTGTTTTTCAATCTGGTTGCAATAACCCAACAAATTTAAGTATAAATACGTCAAATGGAAAGCCAAATTTGAGTGGAAATGCTTATGTATTCAGTGATTGTTCTTCAATATCAAGAGATGGAGAAAATCGCGATTTGAGAAATAGAGACTGCATCCAACTTAACAAAAACAACAATGCAGTTTTTCAATTTGACAGCTGCCACTCAACCTATGCCACTTCAACTCCAGTATTCAATGGCGACAATTCTTTAGCAATTGGAGGAGTGGGCCAATCAGATTCCCAAAACTCTTATTCAATAGATGGTAAGGTTCTTTTGGAACCAATTAGAATCACACCAATTCAGTGGGAGAAATCATTGTTATTGTTATCTTCAACTGAAAAACCTAGCAACGAGAAAACTAGCCAGTTGTCATCTGATGAGCACAAAAATTCAGTAGCACTTAAAACTTTGAGCTTAACCAGCAGTGACAGGACATCCAAAGAGATGAAAGAGTGTGTGGTTTCCTTGGAGAAGTTGAGGATAACACCCTTAAAAAAGAAGGGTAAATATCTCACAGCAACATTATCTGGTGATGGAAGCCTTCCATTCATTAACAGAGGGAAGTCCCAGCTCTCATTTGCTGTAAGTGCACTACTAACTGTTGAAGAAATGATGATGATGATGATGATAGTGAGCAGAATAATAATTTGCTATATGATAAGCTGAATGATACACACATTTTGATTGGTTTTAAGTTATGATCTTTTGGAGGACTGACATATGGATGATGTCACCATGTAAATCAGATACATCCAATAATGCATTGCCATGTATCCAAAAAGTAATGGATTGCAGAAGAAGTCAGAATGTTGTAAGAACATCAGTGTCTCAATTAGCTGCACCTCATTTGCCACTTTTTTCTTCTTACCAGATTTTGACAACATCAGTGATCTGTTATTCAACAGATGCACATCAACATGGAATCTATTTGCCAAATGCATAATCAATTTTATGTTTTGCATGCTACATACTATATATTGGAGTACACAAGTTTCTTCTATGTAATTAACTCGTTTTAAAATGATACTTACGATTTTAATTTCTTACATTTTGAAGGAAGCTTTAACTCCAGTCAAGAAAAACCTTACCAAAACAAACTTTGGAAAGGAATCTGAAGAAGTAAAAGAACTCACTAATTTTGAGAAGGTCCTGATGGAGTGCAATCAAGAGAGACCACTGAAATTTTCAGAAATCTTAGACAAGAAGTAAGCATTGGTGTTACCTTGATATCACACAAAATTCACATACTTCATTCAAAAAGAAAAGCATGAAATCCAGAAAAGAGAAATAATAATCAGATCTTAGGAATTGAAGAGCTAAGTTACAGAGCCAATGAAATTAAGTGACACTGCTGTACTTGACGAGGCTGTTACAACATGTAATTTTCTTCCTTTGCAGTTTACTGGAGAGTTGTGTTAAAATTGGAGAGGGAGTTTATGGAGAAGTATTTAAATCTCAGTATAAAAATGGACAATCAATTGCACTGAAGGTGAATTATACTGATTTTTGTCTATTATAATGAAATCAACACTTGTGGCCACAGGCAATAAATTGTGTCAGAAACAGGGGTGTAGTTTAGTTTTTTGTTCTCTTTTTGTTTGTGTCTGGCTGTGATTTGGCTATTCAGCATTATTCCTGGACACTATTTTGAAAAGTAATTTCAATTTCAAAATTGTCAATCCAATTGGTTTACTCAGCTGGCAATTAACAAAGATGGACCAAAAACTTTACTTGAATTGATGCAATGGAACAATGTTCCAGAAATTGATTACCAATTTTCGGTATGTGTCTTATTGGCAATAAGCAATGAGAGTCAGTTAGTATGTTAGTATGCTTTGTGTAACTCTGGTATAAGTTGACAAACATCACATACCAAGAACATGAACTTTCTTTCTTTTTATCTTCCACTTGTGTATGCAGTGATTTCTCTTATACAAATAATTATGTTTTAAGTGTTTGGCTCTGGAGGTTTAAAGTGCATGGTTTTTTTAATGTGTTTGAAATTCGTTATGTTATTCACAGATCATCCCAGTTGAAGGTGATTTTCAAGTGAATGGTGAACCCCAGAAATCATTTGAAGAAATTTTGCCAGAGATTGTTATTTCCAAGTAAGGTTCAAAACTCCTATTTTAAATTTAACACATAAAGTACAAATGATTTGAACTCTTATGATATGAAAACCTTCATAAATGATTCAATAATATTGTGAATGCTGACATTATCAATATTCATTTTAATAGGGAGCTGAGTTTACTTGGAGAGTCTTTTGAGAATGTAAGAATTTCAAACATTTTCCATCAGATAATTAGTTTGTGTCACTCTGTCAGTCAAGAAATTAAATAAAATGCCTAAAAAGGTGTCAGTTCATTAATTTATTGCTGTTTTGTTTCCAAATGTTAAGGACAATGGGACTACAACCTTCATCACTGTCCACAGGTTGGTACTGCTCTTTACTTCTTAATACCATTTGATACCTCTCTTTCTTGCCTGAGTAGCTAGCATTTTTTGGGGATCTTTGAAAAATGGAGCAGCAATGCAGCAAAGGTACAGAACTCAAAGAATTGGAAGCTTCACAGATGGAGGCTTTGCCAGTCATCAAAGACCCAAACAACTGTTTGCTACCAAGGATAATTCTTTGCTATTCAAAACTGGCAAACAAAGCCTTGCAAAGATGTCTAATTTTAGACACTCATGTCAAGTTTAAACAGACACTTTGAACACTATTAAAATTATTATTACACCAGTGTGTCCAATTTTGGACACTTGTGTCTGATTATGGACACAAGTGTCTAGTTTTGGACACTCATGTTTGATTTTGGACACTAGTATCTGACTTTGGACACTAGTATCTGATTGGACTCCAGTGTCATATTTTGGCACCAGTGTCTAAATCAGACACTATCGTCTGAAATCGGAGACTGATTTCGAAACACGATTTTTCAAGAACGCCTATGATATTGAATGTTTAAAATAATTAAAACCTGGATTTTGATGAAATTCAATTTTTTTTTTACATTCGTAAATAACCAGACAAAATGTTGGGCCATCCACGGAAGTGACTGTCCAAAACTTACATTTTGCTAAGCATTGTCCATTGTCCAGTCGCTATTTCGTGCAGTGATTAGACTCTTCATTTTACACATTTCTGAATGCTAAATTTCACTTTTTTTACGTTGAATTCTATTTATTGTTAAGTGTGACGTGTATTCAAGGTGGATATCCCAGCCATTTGATAACGGAGTGGGACAAATGGGATACTAAACACACATCAGAAAATGACAAGCCTGGTAAGAGATACTCAATAAACTGTATTGACATTTGGCTCTATATTTTGTGCGCATACTTGTTCAGGCTCTGAAAAGGATAAGCTGATCCTTTGACCACTAAAAGTGACTGGCATCTAATTTCTCCTTACAATATCTTTCCAGAATCAAACATTAAGGTTAAGGGAATAAAGGAAATGATCAACCACTGAAGAAACTTTTAATTGTTTAAAACAATTCCTTATCAGCACCTTAGGAAGCGTAAATAGAACAGTATGGTGAATTATGCAAACTGGTGTGAGAGTGTAATGCTTTAATAGCGATTTAATTGCTCAAGTCTCCCTCCGGTTTCCCGCTTTTAGATACAATTTACATCATTTTGCCTCTTCTCTCACCCCTAATCACACTCTGGCTATTTGGGTATTCAGGTATAACCGGGTTTAAAATTAAAAATATTAACAGCTGTCACTTTTTTACTTTAAGATATTTCCTTATTCTATAACCTTCTTCATGTGATGTGCTGTTCTGCTTTTGTTGATACTGTAGATATCTTCCCGAGTGATCAGTTCTTCATCGTGTTCGAGTTTTCAAATGGCGGCAAAGATTTGGAGAGCTTTGAGTTCAACTCCCTGTCAGAGGCATGGAGCGTACTGCATCAGACGGCCCTTGGACTGGCGGTGGCTGAGAACGCGCTTGAATTTGAGCACCGTGATCTGCACTGGGGAAATGTTTTAATTTGTAAGACTGAGGACCAGCTTGTAGAGAGCACTTTGCAAGGAGAGAAAAAGCTGGTACCGAGTCATGGTGTCCGAGTTAGTCTGATCGACTTTACTCTCTCGCGGCTGAAAAAAGGTACCCAAATCCAAATGCAAAGAGTAAGTTTCTATAGAGTCGAAAGAAATGTGATATTACATTGGTTTTGCTTTAATTACCCCTGTGATTGATCAAGAGAACTCGGGCCACCCTCTCAACCAATGATTGGTTGAGAGGGTGGGTGGTAAAATTAAAAAAGCGACGTGGTTGCGCACGTTTTCCGCCCTTGCTGGCTTGTTTTTATTTGAGTTTACACTGGCTCTTTTTCCAGGAAAATTTCGAAAAAAAAAATTCCAAGTTCTCTCTGAACCAGACCATTTAAAAACGTCCTTTCCATTATTTACGTTCTCTTTGATGCTTAATCATTTCTTTTGGATTAAAAGTCCCTCTCTTTTTTTTTTTTTTGTTTTTTTGTTTTTTTTTTTTTTCTTTTACTGCAGATGGCGTGACGGTGTTTTGTAACATGGCAGAGGATGAATCGTTGTTCACTGGCAGAGGAGACTATCAATTTGATGTGTATCGGCTCATGAAGAAAGCAAACAAGTACGTACTGTTTAACTGCACGAGTAGCAGTAAGAAAATTGTCGTGTTTACATTGTAAGTGCTTATTTTATCGGAATTTACCCTCCAGAAAGTCTAACTGTTTAAGGGGAAGAATCAAGTTTGTTTCAATGGCTGTGAATATATGAAAGTCATATATTTGAACTGCGGATAAAGACGTGAATATTAGCGCTGCGGGACGCGACTTTATCCACCCGAAGGAATATTTGAGACCAGTCGGGGACAGGTTTGCCGGGGGTCTGACACTGCTAAATCCCATACAGACCTCTGGAAGAAACGTTCGTGCTGAAACGCCAATGAAGAGGACCTGCTCGTGGCCTCGAGCTCTAGTGACTGACCAGAGTCTTAGAGTAAATGGTTTGAACCATGTTATGTTTATGTGGGTGCTTAAAGGAAAAATAAGTTTTATTGTCTTTCCTTTCTGTTTCATAGGAACGACTGGGAGCCATTTGAGCCTCACTCAAACGTGCTATGGCTTCACTACCTTGCCGACAAAATGTTGAAGAAGAAGAAATACCCGAGAAAAGATAAAGAAACGGAGACACAGCTGAAGATGTTTTTGAGACAAGCAAGAAAATGCTCCTCTGCTACAGACATTATTCATGAGCTTTTCGCTTAAAATGGGAAATCAAATTAAATTTTTTTGGACCAATCTGGGCTAGCAAATAGTTTCTATGAAACTTCAAATAAGGGATAGATGTTTACTCGCTATGAGTAGCATGTAAAGTACATAAGTTAGTAGAAGTGTAAAATCAAAATCAATATGTAAATAGACGATCTTTTGGATTTTAGAATATATATCATAGAGCTCAAATTGTTAATAATCGATAATATGCCGATGCCACTTATGTTCGCTTTGTTCCCCACTCACCCCACCTCCCCTTTTCAACCAAATTGTATCGTGGACAATTCGGAAAAAGGGAAATTGATACAAAATTACCAATTTGACCACGTTGTAATATTGAAACTTTTATTAGCAATATCGCATTTTAAGAGGTCTTAATGCCTACTAACTGGGTTTTCTTTAAATTCTCAATAGCATGTTGTGTAAATAGTAGCCGATATTATTAAAATTGCAATTCAGTCTAAGGGATTATTATTTTATCTCCATGTTAAGTTCTTAACATTATTGTCTGTACGGCAAAAATTATGGAACCGACCTATAACAGACGGAACTGTCCAGAGTAATATAGACTAGGCCTAAAATACGACCAAACCTATCCCTGTTTGAAATAGACGGAACCATCCGACAATTGACAGAACCTTGCGAAAAACATCCGAAACGCACGAAAACATGCCAAGTAAGATACGTCCAAATAGACCTTTATTCGTATTACACGAAGTTTCCCAGTAATCCCTAGCCAGACCGCTGTTTATATGTTATCGCTGGCAATGCTGACCTGTTCGATGTCCGTAAGACTGGCACTAATTTGTTGCCAAGTACAGTTCAGAATCACAAACAATATGGCGTCCGCTAGCAAGTAACCTTGCATATCTGTGAATCTCTTTGTTTTACAAGCTAAAAACGGGGGTACTTTAATAATTTTCCCTAGCTTCGAGTAAGAAAGAAGAAGCAGGACATATAGGAGACGTAGATTACCACAATTTTAAACAGGTGTTTTCGCTGATTTTCAAAATGGAACACAAGCGTTTGTTAAAATGTTGTGTCGAGATTTTAGATTCGTTTAATCCAAGGATTCATGGTGTTTTAGAACACCTTAATACCTGCCTGGCAACAAAAACGGTAAGCCAAAATTTTAGTCCTTTAAAGGAAAGCGTTTGATGATAATTATGTCCATTTTACGTTTATATAAGGTAACTTCTGGAACTTGATCAGCTTTTTATTGATTTTCGTCGTGCGGTTAATTAATGTCTCATTTTGGTGAACTTCTGTTCTCTTCAGGATCTTGGAGAAAGTGATGAATCTTTTCTTACAGAAGTGTTTTCTGGATGCGTGCAGTACACAAATATCGTAAAGGTATGCGTCTTAAAGTGGTTTCATATTTACCATTCAACTGTCTGCTTTGTTTTGTGGTGAATTTGGTAAAATTTCCACACAGCCCCATCCTACATTATGCATTCAGTTCTTGGATAGAGAAGCAATAACAAAGACAATACATTGCCATTGGGAAAACAGATTTGTTTTACAATAGTATGGGGCTATGCGGAAATTTTACCAGTTTTACGTTTACTTATAGTAGTGTCACATCAAAGCTACTCATTTGGCTATGATTTTAGTTCAAAATGATTCAGGATTTCTGAAAGTGGGTTGTATGTGTGTGTGCATATGTTGGGCAGGGGGAGGGTGGGGGTTCAGTCATGAATTTCTATGATCTTTACATGAGCTGGCTTATACTGCTACTCTACCCTGTGTATCAAGGGAATAGTATTCATACAATAAGAAGGACCACCATTTGAAATATCTCAAAAGGTACTAATAAAGTTTTATGCTCTGAAGATTCTTCAAATATTTAAGTTTCTCCAAACCTGAAATATAATTTTTTTTTATGTTATTCATCAATAGGTTGTTGTAGATGCATTCTTTGCTGATATTGGCAAGACTTCCCTTCGTGTTGACAAAAATGTATATACTGGTAAGTGCTTTAATTTACAGGTATTGAATCTTACCCTTATAGTTTGTGGTAGTGCAGTTTGTACAATATGATAAAAACTTGAAGGTACCTTGGTAAAGTCTGTACCTGAGCCAAGTAGCCCACCCCACTTGAGCTTATCTTAGATTCCATAGTATGATGTAACTAGGATATTTCTGCTTCTCCGTGGATGGGATAACTGTCCAGCTTAAGCAGGGGTTTCAAAATATTTTGAAGTAGGTATCAGACTCTGCAAAAGTGGATGACTGTGAGAAGTCCATTAAAGGCCAAAAAGTAGTTACATGTATTTTGACCATAGTAACCTGAGAAACATGTTTTCAAGTAGCCAGCAGAACCCCAGGGATTGCTGGCTTGTTTTGAAACCCTTGCTTGAAGTTATCCCTTGGCATTTCATTAATTCAGCGATACCCATTTACAGTATACTCCTGGATGGAGAGAAGCACTGTGAAAGTATCTGGTGTTTTGCCCAATTACACAACTTAATGACCCACTTAGGTACAGAACCTGGACCATTTGACTTGGAGTCCAGTGCACTGACCAATTAAGGCCACCAAATCTCCCAGTATACAACTTGAATTATATTCAGCTGGTTGACTCTTGACAGGCTTTCATCTTTTCTTTTAGTTCTGGTATATTTGGCTCTCTACAGACTTGATGAACTGGGAATTGCACATTTTAGAAAATTTGTCATGAGCCATGAAGCCAACAAGATGCACAAAGTAAGAAATGCAAATAGCATAAAATCATTTCTTCTGAACTCAACAAGGTCAATTTTGTCAATTTGATAAATATTAAATAAAGGATGATTAATTCTACAATACCATGATATTTTTAGAACTGACTCTTTCTCCCGTAAAGGTAAATGGGATGTACATTGTACGACTAATTTCTCCTTAAAGCATCACAACTGAATCAAATATTAAGTTCATGAAAATAGTGAAAATTATTGCAAACTAAAGAAGCATTTGATGGTTAAACAAACTCTCCTTGTCAGTACCATAATGTATTTAAAGATATCAGTGTGGGGAATATGAAAATTAAAGTTAACATTGGTAGTGACACAAGGGGTTATTGAATCTGAAACACAAGTCCAAGTCTGTTGTTACCTGTACATGTTATTTGCCTAACAGTACCATGTGTACATATTTTATTTTTTCTTTTCCTTTTATTCCAGTTTCTCTCATTCGTGTTCAATGAAAGCAACATAACAACATGGATGAAAGATGAGGTAATTGAAAGCATATTGTCTGGCGAATTTTTGCCTCTTAGTCTGTCATCAAAACTAGTGATTTTGCTTTACTTATTAAAAAGTTTTAACCATAGTCATACTTTTTCTTTTCCTTTAACAGTGGTGTAAACATTACGAACACAGTTATGTTCAAACACATTTGATATCCCCCCTTTTGAGGCAAGTATTTATTCTGAGTTACTCAACAATTAACTCTTTAACTCCTAAGATCTGATTGTTAATTCTCCCCTCTAGCTGCTACACATCTCTTTGTAAATTAGTTATGAGAATTTGTTGCTAGATCAAGATAGCAACTTCTATTAGATAAGTTTGAATATTCTCATTACCTGTTTGCTGAATAATGTATGGATATTATAGGGAGAAGTTTCATGTTAATCACTTCTGGGAGTTGAAGGGTTAATTAACTGGTAAAGCAATAACCTTTCCAGGTGAACTGCAATTAAAGCACTTATTTCATTTACTGTAAGGAAAATCGTGCCCTTTTTCTTTGCTTCTCCTCCTCCTTTTTTTTCAGACTTTTTTTTTCCTGCTAGCGCTTACTGCAAATTGTAGCTCACCATATATATTTACAAGTAGGATCATGGCTTTACTTGATTTTCATTTGCACATCATTAAAAAATTGTGGTTACAGGTAATAACTAGCAATTTTCACAAACATTGAGGTGAATAATACTCAGTGGATATTAACCAAGCTGTAAAGCATGTATGTTAGATATCATTATTAATGCATATCTTTATTTATTTTATCTTTTCTTTTTCAGATGGTTACCAGAGTTAAATGGTCTAATCACTGATTTAAGAGATAAATTAGCCAACAAACAGAAGCCCAGAAAATCAAAACCAGCTACAGGTACTTAGCAAAGAATAAAAATGTTCTTTTTAGTATTATTTGGAAACACAGGTTCAAAGGCACAGAATTGTCAGCTGCATTGCTTAACCCTTTAACTCCCAGATCAAATTTGTAATTCTCCTAAATGTCAACCATACAATTAGTTCAGAGAATTCAGTATTGGATCAACTTATTATCCCCAAATTGATATTTTGCTATATTCTTATCACTTATCTGGTTGATATTGTATGGATATTGTAAGGAGAAATTCTGTCTTGGTCACTCATGGGAGTTAAAGGGTTAACAATGCATTGCTTAACCTCTGGTTAAGAGGGAAGGTTTAGGGAGGGACTGGGTACCCCATCTTTTTTAATTTTTTTTCTATATTTCATTTTATTTCCAACTTTTTAATTCCAATTATTCACTGATATATGATATTTACATAATAATCTTAAAAATTACAATTTCCTTGATTGTGATTGGTCTAAAATACTCCTATTTTCTACTAATTCACTCGCCAAGTTGTTATCAGACAGTTTGTTAACAGACAGTTTGTCTTTGGATGGTTCAATAACAATAATAATAATTTAATAAATAATAATTTAGTAAAGATCAACCAATCACAACCTTGGTTTCAATTTTCCCTTTTTTTCATGACCTGGCTATTTTTTCTTTTCTCAGAAATTTTTTTATTTTTATGATTAATTGGTATCAAGACTTTGTTTTGTTGAATTCTGTCTGAAATCATACTTGTGATAAACAAATCAGACTCCCACTATGCAGTTGTTCAATTTTGTTATCACTCATATCATTACACACTGAGTTGGACTCCACTCAATCCTATCACCATAACTTGTTATTGTCAATACTTGACTTGAGGTTTCTCTATCTTCCTTAGAACCAAAGCCATTTAACCTGACAAAACCTCGACCAAGAAGTGTTCCTATGCCAGAGAAGGTAAGGAATCCATATGTGGATTTGATATTTCTTTCAGCGTGAGAAGTGATAATTTGACACTTTAAAGTACATAATTATACTATAAATTATAATTATAGTACAAGTGACTTTAAATAGTCAAGTCAAATACATGTGTATGTCTTAATTGTTCATTTGGAACTAAACAATTCTTTGTGTTTTCAGATCCCTAAATTAAAGAAGTCTAGACAGGTAGGTGTCCTAGAACTGAACATTCAGTGCCAGCAGTTGCAGTATGTGTTGAAATTTTCTTAAGTTTTGAAGTGATCAGTTTAACTTAATCAATGGTGACTATTAGAGTTTTTTTTTTCATCTTTGATTGGAAAGGTCCCTCAGACTACATATCATGCACCTGTTGAGGAAGATGTTATGGCTAAGATTAGGGAAGAAAATCGGAAAAGAGCTGAGGTGAGTGTAAATGTCATTTTATAATCAATACAAAGTAGATAACATTTGCCCTGTTTTCTTTTGAGGGTCTTCTTCCTTAAATCAGGAAGAGCTCTTGCCATCACTTTTTGATGTACATGTTGCAACTATAGGCTGATTCTTGATACTTGTGGTAGAAATATATTTTTTAGAATTGCACTGTCTGCCATCATTCCTGTACATACAATTTTGAAGTTGGTTAATGTGACCAAACAGTTCCGATTAATGAGAGGATCAGATGAATATAGCAGTCTGACTGGTACAATCACCCTAAATGTAGTCTAGTAAGGGCTCATTGTGCAGCACCATTCCCACAGTACACCTACGTAATAGAGTTCCCCCTCCAAGTAGTTTGATAGTGTACGGCTGTTTTTCCCTGAAGACAATATGTATGTATTAGATCCTTCTTGTAGCACATTGTCTGTATAGTAAGGGGTGGTTTAACAGGGCTCAGAAACAAGAGTTTGCAGCAGGTGCAAACCAAGGCAAGGTCTTTGTGATGCTTTCTTGGACAAAACATTTAACCCATTAGATCCTAGCATCAGTTGGCCTATGTTACTGACAATGAGAATTTGCTTAATTGATCAAGAGCTCCTTTGCCTAGCAATCAATTCTGATGTTCTTGCGACCTTAATGTTTGATTCAGGGGCAACAGTTTTAGGAGAAATTAGATGCTTATCACTCTCTGGGGTTACAAGTCAACTTATAAAATACATCTGTCCACCCAGGAGTTTAAACAGATAGTAGTAGCTGCTAGCTGATAGTAGAAGCTGTTCGGGAAGCTTTCTGAATAGCTGGACTCACAGTCAGTAATTTTCCTTGAGTAGAAATGCTCTCAGCTAGGTTAGGGTAATCTTTAGTAGAAATCGTCACCAGGCTTCTAAGACTTAGCCGTTCTCTTCTGGAAACAGGAGGAATTCTTAAGATCATCAGCCAGGCAACCTGCGTGTGCAAGTGCTGAGAAATCTGATAAAACTAAACGAAGAATGAGACAAATTACAGAAGAGGAGAACTCCAAGTGAGTAGTGATTCTTCATTTGAAGAACATTCATAGATTTAAACTAAAAACATCTTTGTCAGCTTTCTTCGTCTGCAACTACCATATTATAGTCTATATTTGTGGTTTTCATCAGAAAAAAGACAGAAAAGATCATGTGCTCTCTTTCTTTAAATGTTACAGGTTACAGTTCAACAAACCCAAAGCACAAGAGGCGCCGTCAACCACAGTAAGAGATGACAGTTCATACTATGTATAGAAAGGCATTACTTTAGTTTTCCTGGGTAATCCTTGGCGTTGTTTGCTCTTGAAGGAATTTGCCTTTACTGTGCGGGTAGTCGATAATCCTACCTTGTTTTGATAGAAACTTGCATAGTTCTATAGCACATCGTAATGTATTTAAAAACAAAGAACTGTTAGTGAAAGAGAACTTCATGTACATGTACTGTACATACAATCACGTGTATGTGTAATTGGCAATGTTCTTTCCTTTATGAGGGTGGAAACATTCCGATCAAGTTAAATGCAGCAACAATCATGAGAGAAGGAGTGCTTTTTCACAAGAAAGAGGAAGAGGAACTGAAAAGGTAAATATAGGAAACACATGTAATCTGAGTTAAACATGCATACAACACGTGACGGAGGCGCTGCGCACTGGACTCTGGGTCGAAAAGGAAAAGGTTTGAGTTGAAGTTCTCACAACTATACGGGCCCTATGTAATATTTCTAGATGTAACTCTTCGATGTAATAATGCGAGTTTTTGCTCAAACACCTGTCCATTCTGTTTCTTTCCCTGATATCTGAATTTCAAACAAACATCCGCTTTTCGGACCCGTTAAGTTACCAAGTCTTTAAAGAAACGAGCTCCCTTGCCGGATTATATTGCTGTGTTCTTGAGAAAGACACCCAATCTTCACAGTGCCTTTTTCCACCCAGGAGGGCTAATAGCTACCGACAAACGGGTATGGCCATGATCCTGACGATATGCAGGGGAGGGTAGCCATACTAACAGGCCCTCATCATCATCTTCGGCTCGAGCGTTTCTAATCCTGACCCATGGCGAAATATGAGGCCATGGGCAACGTCAGCCGGTGAGAGGTCGGGAACGGGTCCGGCAACGATAACCAGGATAGTGCCAGACCCCTAGAGAACCTCTCCCGACTCTTCTAAAATCCTCCCACGAGTGGAAAAACGCGCGTCCTGCCACGCTTTTATTGAGGGACTGCTCACCAGTTACATGCTACCAAAACTGACCCAGGGATAAGCTACATCAAGGTTCTGCGATTTATTTTCGACCACAGACTTATAGAATAATGACTTGAGAGATTCCCTTACACTGATGATTATTTTCAATTCCAATTTTTAGACTGTCAGAGTATGAAAAAGGAGGACGTGATGCCACTGAGTTCTTAAGATGGCAAGAAAGTGCCAGAAAGGTATTGAACTAACGTTTGGGAGTATTTTCGCCTGGCTTCTGTTATAGTTATCAAAAACAATTTACAAAGAAAATTCGAAAGTTCAATCAAGATAACTCGAGCTTTTTCGGTTTGATACTTTGCTAATCAAATTGAGTATACAGAATGTAAAACTGTGAGGTGTGTAAAAAATTTAGTATATAAAGTTTGGCCAACCTTTACTTGATCTCAAATCTGCTTCGGTTTGAATTTTATTCATTTTCATTGCAGCATTTATTGTTCATTGATGTTTCATTTTCTTTTTGCATATTCCTTTGTAGAAAGATTTGGAAGACAGACTCGCTGAGATTGAGAAACGAAGATTGGTAAGTTGGAGATCTCATTTTCTAGACCTAGAAATGACGGGAACACTTGCAGTCTGAATCTTGTGTTTCTAGGAGGGAAAGTTACGCTTAAGATTGAAGTCGTTTCCGCTGCTCTTCTGTTTCAGGAGGGAAAGTTAAGCTACGAGGAGGCGATACTTGCAAGACAAACAATGATCAAACAAAACCAACATCGGGTCATGGAAATTAAACAAGAGGTGGGAACTATTTGGTCAACCTGAGAATAAAGTCCACAAGATAGCTACGGTCCATTTCTGTGTTGGAGCAATTTTCATTGAGTGTCGAAAGTAATCCGGAATTGCATCGGATTTGCTTAACTTAAACATGTAATTGGTTCAGAAAACGTGCGCCATCCTCTCAACCAATCAGATGCAAAACTCAAAACAGTCGCGACTCTGTTATGCGCGTTTTCCCGCGCTTCAAGCAGTCTGCTTCTTTTCACTTTCTCATTGGCTAATGATAATGTAAGCTTTCGTTCTGATTGGTCATTGAGTATACTTTTGGTTTTTCAACCCTCAATTGAAAACCGCTCCAATAAGTTATGATAGATTGGTGTTAAATTACGACCACATGTTGTGACTTAGAAATTTGTCCATTTTCATCAGTTGGTTTTTCTGTAATTTACATTACAAAAATTGAATTGCTAGATACTTCTTACAGTTACAAATACGATGTTAGAAAATGCTGAATTCATTTGTCTGTCTTCGCAGACACAAGAGATGATGCAGAAACATCTTGAGAGAAAGTCGAAGGAAGGTGAAGAAATGAGGTTGGTATGCCTGTGTTTACCTTTGTTTCCTCTTCTCGGAACAAATTTTGTCCGAGCAAATTTCGTGGTAAGTGCGTTATTTATATATTGTGCTTTTACATTTATCGTCCTTTTCTTGGTTAGGAAACTCGTCGAGCAAACCACGATGGAACATGAAAATACTAAAGAGGCCCGCAGAAAACTTCAAGAATACAACCAAAAACTGGGTAAGGTGTTAATGGAATCTTTGAGAAGAGTGGCCCATAACCTCTAGTGGTTTATCTTATCTGTAACTAAGACAAAACAAGTTGATAAATCATATTTCGGTATAATTTCGATGGCAGGTATTTTCCAATATTAAGAGTTCAATTTCTACTTTTTTCGTGGTTTTAGTTCAAGACGTCAGCAAGGAGAGTCAAGAACTTATGCGTAAAGCTTTGGAAGAAGTGAGTTGTATTTGCGTTACAGATCGAGAATTTGTTTTTGCGGTTTTTTTCTTTCTTTCTTTCTTTCTTTTGCTGGCACTGGTATTAGTTTCTCCTTGACATTTACGGCAACTGAAAACGGCTAAAAAGATTCTGAATTTTCTTTTTCTTTGCGCAATCCTTGAATCAACGCTGGAGAGAAATGGCGAAGAATTTCTTGTGCACAGCCACAGCAAATAGTTCAAATTAAGTGCAAAAATGGCGGAATTCAGACGGCAAGAAGTTCAATTTTTGCCGTTTGCCAGTTGTTAAAAACACCTTTGTACTTTCTAAAAAAGACGGAATTTATCATGATTGAATAAATGGGTTATTTACTCGATAACAAATGATATTTGTATCCCACAGGCTGAAGAAGAAATGAGACAGAGAGTTGCGCTGATTGCAAAGATACGAGCCATAGAGAGTGTACCAGTCATTCGATTTAAGGTATGCCTTGTGTTTCTTGTCTGTTTTGCCAAGCAAAACTTTGTATCCATGTTCTTGGAGACATATTTCATCAACAGCATTATGTGATTTGCAGAATTTATCCAGCATTAAGGTTAAACTTTTTGGGCAGTTTTCTTCAGAATTTTTTTCATAAAGAACCTCTTCATAGATATATTGCGGTTTAAACTTAATACTCATTTTTTCCGCTTTCTTGGTTTTTTTGTCTTATGCAGCACGTGGATCTCACAGAAACTTCAGGAGCTGGCCTCCTCAGTGAAATGTCTGTAGCAGAGGTATGGTCGACTTTGAACCACTTTATGTCATCGTTTGTAAGAGGCCGGTAGGCCTTTGGTTGTCGTATTCTGAAAATAACCTGAGCAATCATTTATGATCAACTGCAAGGAATGTTAATTTACCCTTTTAAAGTGCATTATTTATATAAATTTCCAGCCATTAGTTTTTACAAACGATTTTGGCAGCAAACTACTATTTTCCATCTGGGGAAATACGTGTAGCAACATTTCTTGTATGATGTGCGAGAGGTTCGTTTTAGTAAATAGATAATGACCCAATCATACGTTAGAGTAGCGAAACCCTCTGAAGCACCTCGTGTTTCAACTTTTCACTCCTCAATAAAGCAGCCCTGTTATGAATGGCGATTCTTTTTTTCCCCTCAGCTTCGTGAGAGGTTGGCGTTACTTAAAATTGCCGAGAAAGAGGCGGAGGAGGAGAAAAGGGACAATATATTGAAGTCCAAAGTGGTGAGTACCAAAAACGAGCCAAAAAGGTCATTAAACCACTTTCAGATGAGGCTCGTAAATCTTCAGAATACCCGAGCTGTCTTCGAAACTCTTGGTATACTCCGATCGTCCTTGAGGAAAAAAAGTACAACAGAAATAGAGTGAAACTTCCGTAGTTTGTCCTTTTTATTGTTATATGTAGCACAAGCCTTATATATCTCGAGGAGGGTTCCAATTGCCATTATTATGGAATTCAACGGGAGGTTCACTTTATTTTTAAGGGTTTGTTCTAAGAGATTGAAGTTATAGTCCTTTGTTTGTGATTTGATCCAAGGCTTCGTTAAAATATTTGTACTTGTACTTGGTTTAAGTATTATTATAATTTTTTTTTAGGAAAAAGACCAGTTCCTTATGGACACTTTAGAAACCATCGCCAAGCACCGAGCTGAGATAGGAAACGAAGCAGCCGTGCAGTGAGTGACTCTTCATTTCTATATGAGTTGTACTGCAATGAGCGTCAGTTTGAGGTAAGCTGACTGTTTTCCCTTTTTGTGACTTAGGCTGGAAGCAAAGAAGCGACAAAAGAAACCCGAAGTGAAGGATCCCAAGCTAAAAGAATTACAAGAACGATTGGAGGCCAGGAAAGCAGGTTTGTTCAAACTCCAGTAGTTTTTTGTCCTATTTTTGCTGTCCAGCATGTGGTCAAATCACTTCAATTATGGACTCATCTGCAAAAATTGTTTCAATGATTGTAAACACTTGTGAGTTGACTCACTCGTAGATTATTCACATCTGATCCCTCGTCCTAATGATCATCAATATGATCACTGGCTTTGGCGAGATAAAAAATGCGCGTTGTAAATCTGATTCTGAAGGTTAATGCAGACATAAGCTTGGATTTACCTTAAATGAAGTTTGGAGGTGCCAAAATTTGACACTTATATAGCATTGAGGTACTGGATCCCTTGTTCGAAGTATTGTCTTAATTATATTCCTTAATTTTGCCTGTTCTCACACCTAAATCTTGGTGAGTACAAGCAAAGGCCTTGCCAATGTACTCGTCAATTTGCCTCTTTCCATTTTCCAGAAAAATTACTTTATATTTGATTGTTTAAAACAGAACGCAAGAAAGAAAGCGAACGTCTAGCGGTGGTTCCGAAGAAGAGCTCAGCACGAAGACAAAAGGCTCTACAGGAAGAGAAGGTTGGTAACTAACGAACAGTTAGTAATTTTTATCTGTGTAAAGGACTGTCACATTATTTTTACTTGTTAAGGGAGGTAATTAAAATGGATACCACTGGTCGATGCAGTTGAGAATCAGGAGAAGATAGTATCTTGACTTCTCCAAATTTCAGTTTAGAGCTGTTCAGTTCATATTTCGTCAGAGGAAAATGATCGAATCGTTTTCATCAATTTCACATGAGGACTGTATTCTTTCAGGCGGCACTGGAGAAGATGAGGTGGAAAGAACTTGAACAAACACGAGAAAAAGCAGCTAAGCTTCGAGGTGAAGGCTTAGCGAGTAGGAATTCGGCGGGTGTACGGCCTGTAACAACCCTAAGGTGAGAAAATAAGAGAGATCAATGAATAAAGCAGTATAGAGCAGTTTTCAGTTTAGTGTCAAAAACCAAGACCAAAGTAATCCCGGTGACCAATCATAACAACGATTTACATTATCATTGGCTAATGAGAACTCAAAATGAAACAGGCAAACTGCATGAAGCGCGGGAAAACGCAAATGATCAAGTGGCGGTTGTTCATAGTTTTGCATCCGATTGGTTGAGAGTATGGCGCGAGTTCTCTGGGCCAATCACAAAGCAAAGTTAGAAAAAACAAAAGCAATCCTGAATTACTTTCGACACTCAATTCAAAATTTCTTAGTCCTCGCTGGTAGCGGGAAACATTATTTCGAAAGTCCTCGAAAAGGTCATGAAATATCATATCACGCAAGGTTAATTAGTTTTCAGAATACGAATCCTGTTTAATTACTGCATATGAAACAGCTTCGCTCGGTTTAATTCTTTGCAGATGAGCAGATATGTAAAATAACTAAGTATATATTTTTGCTTTTTTTTTCAGAAATCAACGAACCACAACAAAGGTTGCAACCTAGATAAAACAGTTTTAAATTATATAAGTTACGTATATTGATGTTTGCCTGTCTCCAGAAAGTCACACAATAATAAAAATTTACGTTGGTTGAAACGAAAGATCTACAGTTCCCTTATTTCAATTTTTTTTTGTTTATTGTTAATGTAGAAATGTAGATTCTCCTTCATTTAATTCTGCGCATTACGAGTTATACTTTAATAGTTAATTAACCTTTCACAAAGGCTACCTCGTGGAGATCCTTTTTCCCAGCCATTTTGAGATCGAATGACGCATGGATGGTTCCATGATCAAATTACTCATTCGGAAATCGAAATCGTTGTTTATTAGATGAAATACTATTTCAAGTAATTAACTGTCGTTAATTAAATTTTGTTTGTGATTTTTTTGGTCATTTTTGTCAATACATTGGTTTTGTTTTGCGGGATAAAAGATGACTAACCCTATGTTGGAAAGCATTATAAGTCTGATAACGACGTCACTTTGCTGAGTCTATCCTGCCTTTGAAGAAACTGAGAAAATAAAATTTCTCCTGTTATCGAGGTTCATAAGTTTCCTTATTCTCTAAGACACCTGCAGTCAATGTCATTTTCAAACTTTGGACTAACAGGAAAAAAAGCAGCGGCCTAATTTAGTCGGAGACTTTTGAGCAGGTAGTTGAATAAATAGATATCTAGAACGACAGAGTCCTGTTAGCAAACGGGCTTTCTGATGACGCAGTCTCCTTTAAACTATTTTTAATTTCTGGCAAAAAATGAAATGCAAAAGATCGGATGTCACTCCACTTAGCTTGAGGTTTTCATTTTCGGAAAGTTACTGGCTGATGCTGAGATATTTTTTTGCGTCCTGCACTCAGAGGCATGAAGAAGTTTTTCATGCTATTAAGTGTAATTATTACCATTCCTGACATCGCTGTTTTGAAAGGTAATTTTTTTTTGCTTTATTTTTCCTAAGGAATAACGGTTTATTGAAACGCTGAGTTTTCGACCGACGCCACAAATTCTGCTCTTTAAAGAGTGAATTTTCAAAATAGGTTTAATTTTGAATGGCGTATTAAAATTCAGTGGCATTATATATTTGCAATTTATACACAACTTTCAATACATCACTTGCGATTTTTACGTGAGTTACGGAAAACGTATCAGCCGATAGCGTTAAATTTACCGTATATCAAGCAAACGCTCACTAAAGGCACAATACAAAAATCAAATTTAAGTGTATGCTTATTTTGAATGTGGCTTCGTCTAAGCATGTGATAGAATTGGACAGCGTAATTTCGTAATTATAGTAATTAGATAGATATATGTAGCTCACAGAAGACTGTTAAATTAATAGTATTTAGAAAAATATGCCAGTGGTTGTTGTAGCTCCTGCTATTTCCGCTCTTTAGTTAGTGAATTATTCCGGTTCCCTTGTTTTAGTTCTCATGGTGTTTATTCGTGATACACTTTGGACCGACATACTTGTTGTATATGTTTCGCTTTCAATGTCTTTCGTAGCCGGAATTAAGACCTCATAAATTTGTTCAACGCAATATGTTTTCCTTAGTGACGCCGTGAACACTGCCTCCGAAACAACCAGCGATATTGAAACTTACCACGACGAAAATAGATCTTCATAGGTAGAGAATATTTGGTTTCTACTTATAGCTTTTGAGAATTTTAATCAATCCAACTCCACTAAGGAGAAATTTCACCCAACCTGGACTTTTTGACCGAAATTGTTTAGCAGGGGTATGATAAAACCACAGCCATACAAATGATTTTAATTTGACTTAACCCCCCCTACACCCTGACATCAGCATCCATATTCTCCATAATGCTCTCTATACATTTCTTAAGATGCTGATAAGGAGAATTTGTTTAAAAATCAAAAGCTTATTTAATTGATGATCATTTCCTTTATGTGAAGTCTGATATTCTAGGCGCCATTTTGGATGTGTTGGGAGCCTAGGAGAGACACTGGAACCGAGGGTGTTCTTTGATAGGTCGAAGGTCTTCTCCCTATTTCCTTAATGCGCGCTCTTCTTAGCGTTAACGCCACATTCATAAGTTTTCCTATTCAATAAAAAAGGCAATAATTGAAGCTGTGTACTGATATTTCAGAAGTGAATTTAGCATTTTCCTACTTCAGAGCTCACTCACCGGAAGTTATTTCTAAAAGTCCTCAACGGCAATTGACTTTGACAGAATCAGTTCTAGTCCCTGAGGAATTTAATCAACATGTGTTTGAAAAATATATGAATCGTCCATTGTAGCCCTCACCAAAACACACACCAAGAGGACAAGGAACAGTTTCGATAAGAAATGTTTACTACCAGGTATCTTTCGCTCATCGCAGTTGTCTTCGCCCAGCTCAAAGCGAATGGTAAGCTAATTATCTTTCCAAAAATGTTACACCTTTTTCGTCAGGTTGTCTAATCACGATGTAAATATGTTCTCTGTTATGCGCTTAAACAAAGTTGCAACGCAGTTGTGTCATTGCTAGAAATTTAGTATATATTATAGCTAAAACATCGCAGTTACAGACCACAGATTAACGGGTTCTAAAGTTTTTCCTTTGGCGATACCGATGCACGGGTAAAAAGCACAGAACGATGCAAAATGCGTGTTACTTTCTTGTATGAGGGAAGTTCGCACGCAAGCCCGAATTTTTGGCACGATTTTCAGAGAGCTGCCACTTGTAATTACCGAGTGAGGCAGTTTATTTATCGGGGCACATTGCTACCCGTTTGAAGCAAACAGTAATCGATGGCTATGTCTTGTGATTAAATTTATATCTACATGAAACCTTGCGTGGCAAAAGTTTCAGTGTATAAATAATCGATTTCTTTTTTGCGTGAGGAATTGAAATACGATGCCATCCACTTTAACTTTGTGGATTTGCACAATCACTTCAGTGGAACAAAATCGTATTTTCACAACTTTCTTCGTTTCCTTAACCCCGTTTTCAAAACCTGAGGATTTCAGTTTTCCAATTTCTGAACAAAATCAGGTTATTTAAAAGACAAAAAAACTGAAAACATGGAACACATCAAATTTTATCAAAGAAACATTTAAAAACGAGAGCAAAAGAAAAACGCGAAAAAAGGATCCAAGGAGTTATGTTTCTCAGGCAACAGCCATGATTGTTTGTTGACAATCTGCTCAAAATTTGCATTTTACATCTAATAGTCAAGCTGAAAGCCCATTGTGTCCAAAAAAAGGCTCTATATTTCTGAAAGATTTATCACATCAGTCGAAAAATTCTTGTGCCAAGAGTTCTCTTTGACGTGCTTCTCTCTGTCTCGTTTCGCTGCTTTTCGTTGGTTTTTGCAGTAAGCCAATATCTGAAAAGCTCTCATCAAAGCCTTAGTCAATACCATTAAGTGGAATGCAGTTAACAGTTTAACATAGTGAATTTTCTCCCCAAGGGAATGATGATGAATGAAATACAAGAAAAAGCGTTCATAATTACTTTTCATACCATTACTGTAATTACTTAATCATAACAATGTTTAAAGGGATAATTTATTTTACAACCGTATTAAGCAGATCTTAAAAAATTAAAGCTGTCTCTCGTTTGATAGAGATATTGACCGAGACTTACGAGACGACATTGATCGAATTTCATGTACAATGATATCGCTGAAAGATTGTTAACCATGTCGGCTTCTTCTAATACTAATGTCACGAAGCAAGAAGCAAACGAGCTCGAGTAAATTCAAAGGAAAACTGTCTCTTATTTATCTAAGCACATTTATAACAATCACCCTCGAGTGCCTGATGAAAATAAGACGTAAAATAGCAATGTCGACCTCAAGACGTGAAAGAGAAGTAAGAAATTTTCATACCCAGAAAATATCGCAGAACTGTTGGTAAAAAAGCTCCATACCATATTTCTGGCTTCATACCATATTTCTTTTTTGTAACAGAGGCAGCCATCCCGCCATTTAAAGATCAGTGTATAAAGTGGCATAATATCTACCGAGAAAAACATCAGGTAAATAATGATAAACTTTTAACACCCCAACATCAGCACCCATATTCTCCAAACTGTTCTCTATAAATTTCCTTGGTTCTGGTGAGGAGAATTTGCTTAAAAATCACATCCTCTTAGGTTGGCGATCGTGTCCATTATTCTCATGACCTTGATAAATTATTCAGAAGTATTGCTGTCAGGAAAAATTATACGATGGTAACTCTTAGGGTTTACAGTGTTAAGAGAACTGTACAGAAAACGTTAAAAAATTAAGATCACATCTACGAACTGATTTACCAGAAGGGTGTAGAACTAAAAATATAAGGGGGTAATTTCCTAAAGAAACTGTGGTGCTCCGTCGCTGAAAGAGTATAACAAGGCAATTTAGTATTATCAACTGAGTTGATAACGTAAATTGGCCACTGTAAAGAGTTTCAAAACTGATTTTTCGAGCGTTAGCCCTTCGTCAGAGCGAGTGGAGGCTCTGGCAAAGGGCTAACGCTCGAAACGTCAGGTTTGAAACTTTTATAGCTGGGATATTGACCCTTGGGTATTCCGGTTTTTTTGTTGTTGAAAAAAATTACCTTATTGCATCAAACTGAAATTTAGGACTGACTCAGAGACTATTTTTACAACATAGGTCGACCCTGTGACGTGGGATGACACTCTTGCCAATGGAGCTCAAACTTGGGCAGATTATTTAGCGCAAAATAATTCGTTTAAACATGCATCTGGAATTCAGCCAGGAGAAAATCTATACCTGTCCGGTTCTCCTCTGCCAGAGGAGCCCTGTACTGAGGCAACACAGCTGTTCTACGGGGAAATTAAAGATTATGATTTTGACAAGCCTGGATTTTCAATGAGTACTGGGCACTTTACTCAGGTACATACCAAGGCCCATACTAAGACGTATTAACTTGCCTTAGTTTTAGGCGCCTTTAAACAGTTTAAGGCTATTTGAGAATATTCTTAAAAACGTCAGGTGACCTATAGCAACTTCAAGTGACTTTAGGGAATTGATAAAGCGACCCTATACGGCTAACATGACCCATCCTTGCGCAATCAAATCAAAGTTTTCTCCGAGTTGACGAAATCTGGTGAAAAAGGGGCATGAAAGAGGTTGCAATTAAAGGTATTTGAAAATAACTCGACTTTTATTTTCGTATACGTGGTTTTTATCCACATAGTTCAACTCAGCCCCAAATGCCAAGTATTGAAAGCAGTTCAACAGCGTTGTTGCTCAGCTAGAACAGAACGCTGACAGAAATAGGAGTTTATTTATTTTGGTTGTCAGGCAGGTCGTGTAAAAGCATAGCTAAAACCCTTACCTACGTCTTCTTTTGCCTCTCGTTCTCTTCATCTCCATCTCTTCACCCAGCCCCAACCTTTCTTCCGCACGAATGTACAGTATAACTTTAGAATACGGACATTCCTCCTTTTAATTTCGACTCAAAGTCCGTCGCGCTAGTCGAAAAATATCAACGGAATTCTGGGAGTAAGTTGCACGAAAAATTCGTGCATTTCATTCCCAGATTTCTGCACGGCGTGCGAACAGCGGTTTTTTTTTCCTCTTTTTCGCTGACTTCTCTAGACTCGCTCAACGGACTTCCCCGAAAAGAAGGGACTGCCCGTAATCTAGTTTAAATGTTTCTACCTTTAACTGGCCGAGAATATTAGTTACGTTATTTTATGAATTGACAGTCTTCACTTCATTTTCCCGAGGTTGTCTGGAAGAAAACTAAAAAGATTGGAGCGGCACAGCAAACCAGAAAAGATGGAAGGCTTGTGGTTGTGATTCGTTACTCTCCCGCTGGGAACTATGTTACGGAGAAAGCTTTCAGGGAAAATGTTTTACCCGCCCGATCAGGACACGGATTTAGTCACACGCTTTCTTCGTCAGCTCTCACTGCCTTCGTTGTTGCATGCGGGGCTGTTTTGAATTTTTTCTTTTGATGTTTTCACTCTTATTACGCTATGTAGCAAGGAATTTCAGTTTCTCATCAGTAAAAATATGTAATTTAATTTTAATATATGTCGAGTGAATTAAAACGCTGTTATTTCTTGTAAGGGCAACGTTTGTTGTTCAGAATTTAAAGGTAGCGGTCGGCTTTTTTTTGCTGTTAGGAATTGGCTCTAAATTGGCTTCCGTAAAGAGTTTAAAAGCTGACGTTTCGAGCGTTAGCCCTTCGACAATCGCTCTGGCGAAGGGCTACCGCTCGGAACGTCAGCTTTTAAACTCTTTACGGTGGTCAATTTACGTTATCAATTCAGTTGATAATGCTAAATTAACCTTTCATTATCTGTTTAGTTACGTTGTGCATCAGTTTGCATTTCGTGTACGTGTGCTGGTTTGGAGTTTCACGCTGATGTTGGTTAAGGAAACAAATAATGTTGGTTTCACTTCGGCTGTTGTGGCTTCTGTGAAAACCAGAAAGTATTAATATTACTCTGGACAGAAATTACCATTAGGAAACAAAGAATGTAGGGTTAATTCCGGTTTTGCTTTTTTCTTTTTTTTCAAGGAAAGAGTCATAGAGAGTTAAGATAAATCTCTGAATGAAAAGATGTATTTGTTTATTACTTCGGTAATATCTCACCAGACGTAGTTTTGGAGCGATTTGGTATTTATGTTTAAGTTTGATAACTTTAACTTTTAATCAGGTGAGAGTTAGTATTCATATTATTCACGGATTTGGTTACCACACCAAAACCAATTTCGTTTGTTGTAGAAAATAAATGATAAACCGAATGTGGCAAAGCAGACATGTTTTTGTGGTGGAAAGAATTTAAACAAAGCAGAACCGTGTCTTGTGATCGCAATGTGGATTGATAACTTTGAATTTTTTGTAAACTAAAGAAGGAGGAAATAACTTAAGTATAAGCAGCTTTGTAAAAATTTTAAATTTACCTGATTTTTTTTGTTGATGATATCCTTGGTTCATTTTTAATAAAGAAGAGAAAGTTTGTTAATCCGAGTCTTCTTTTGTAAAGATTCTGCTTATGATGTGAAATATTTTTCTATGAAATAACATCCTCCGATAATTTGATGGTTCAAACTATAGATAGCTAAAACTTCTTCCGTTAAAAAATATCTTCAACCCTACAAAAGAATTAAACAATTACAACGCCTTTTCTAAATAGCAAAGATTTATACTGCTTCACCTCAACATTGCTTGCGAGCAGGTGTAAGTTATGAATTATTTATTCTTCCGCACTGTTTTATAGGGGTTGGTTGTTGACAGAAACGCTTCATACCGACAGAGACGTAGTCGATCCAAATCTCGAAAATGCAAGTTTATTTTGCTCTCCTTTGCTTCAAACTGGGTCTGCTGATGAGAGCTTCTTTCGGAGGTAAGATACGGAATTCAGTTTTGATCTGCAGCGATAGAAGTTGGCGTTACAATCAAGTGGGAAGGAAGTTGCGAACTTGAAGAAAGTTCAGGAACAAGTACTCCGCAAAAAATTGCTCTGAGGAATCAAAATATTTTGACAAAAGCGTTCTACTCTCGCAGGATCTCGGCCCTCTCGTTTCCCTGTAAATTTTTGGCCATTCTATCGGTAACTGAATGCGTTCAGTCGCGTACTTTCTCTCATAAGTACTATTATCCATGGTGCTGATACTGCAACTTATCAAATGTATAAAAACGCAACTTGACAGACTATTGCACCCAGGGACTATACTATCGTATAGCCGAAAGCGAGCAGGTATTTTAGATCCAACCTATAACACCGACAGGACTTGGTAAAACAGTCCGTTACTGATTGCAAAATTTTTCCTTCACTCGCATTAATGGAATTTCTAAAAAAAGATTTGCAGACTGACTGATGATCGACCAACGAATTTTTAACAAAATAATCAGACCAAACTCTCCCCGTTGAATTTGCATAGAATATTTGCTTAGTTATGACTGATGCTCTGCGGCGGTTAAAATGGCAGTTCATTATTGCCACAAAGCATTTGATGGGGGGTCGAATTTCTCAAGGTGAACTCATACCTATTTAAATTTTTAGAAAATAGATTGGAAATTTTCAAAATTTTTATCTACAAAGATCGTTACGCTATCCACATTGCTGATCCTAGCAGTATATTCGGTAGCAGTAGGACGCGTGTCACATGAACTTCGTAATAGACCTCTGTCTCTGTCTCTGTGGCTTAGTGGTAGAGCATCGGAGCTAGCGCGGAATCCGATCGTCTGAGGTTCGATTCCTCATGGGAACTCAGAATGTTTTCTTTGTCCCACGCTCGTGATGAGATGATAAAAACATCTTTCTCTACATTTGAAGTCTTATCAAAACTAGCTTTTAAGACTGCACATGTATGCACGTCCAAAACGTTTCTACTGATAAAACTATTTTATTATTATTATTATTTTTTTTAATTTCAAAGCGAAAAGATTTGAGAATTTTATCTGTCAAGCCACATTATTTAGTTATCCAATTAGGAATTGAAATTTTGAAGTTGAACTCGAATTTTCCGGAAAATCCTACAGTTCATCGTATGAGTAATTTGCTTGAACTGTTATCTTTAATTGATAGCATCTAGTTACTACCAAGTGAAATCAGTTCAGTACGCAATGTAATTTCTAACGGGTAAAATTAATTTAACTTTCCTATTCATGACAGAGGCAGAAATTCCGCCATTCAAAGATCAATGCCTGAAATGGCACAACGTGTACCGTGAAAAACACCAGGTAAATAACAACCGTATAGACTTCTCTCTGAGAGTAAATTGTATAAGCATGCAGGTTGCAGTAATTGTTTCCATGAATCAACTCCACGATCCACCTAAGACTCATCGGGATATCAATCACACGGGAAGTTTGGAGACCTCCAGGGATGTCTCAGAGTTACTTTGAGGCGTAGCCCGGAGAAAATCTAGCTTCTTGAGTGCCGTTCAAACTTTTCAAGTGCTTCATATCTCGATGAAAGCATGGCTGACGTGTGAATCAATTGTTTTGTGTATCATTTTCAAATCGATATTTCGAACACTGTTGAGAGAGAAATTTGCCTAAAATGCTCCAATGCGTTATCGGCGTGCATTTTGGGAATGTGAAGCACACTTGCGTTACTGAAATTGATTGTACAAACTCACTGGCTATTATATAATTTCCACTAGTTTACTGAGTACGCGTACGTCATTCCAATGTCTCACCGTCAAATGTCCAAATGTTCTGTCAAATGGAGAAGATTTCTAAATAATCCACTTTACCTACTTAAGTTACCATCATATTAACATTTTTCCTTTGTCTACACCCTTTATGTTGAATGTTTGCTAAGCGATCGATCGGCATGACGGGAAATTATTTTGCAAAACGCAGGTTGATCCCGTGACGTGGAATGACACTCTTGCCAGTGGCGCCGAAAGTTGGGCAAACTATTTAGCGCAAAACAATCTGTTTAAACATGCGTCTGGTCTTCAAGTTGGGGAGAATCTGTATCTCTCTGGTTCCCCTTCACCTGAAGAGCCTTGCACTTCGGCTACTCAAGCTTTCTACGGAGAAATCAAAGATTATGATTTTAAAAAGCCTGGGTTCTCCATGGATACTGGGCACTTCACTCAGGTGAATTTACTTTAAAGTAGCTTCAGTTATATCTGTTACCAAAAAACGATTCAAATGAAAGGACAAAGGCTCCCATGCAGATCATTGAGCCTCTTTCAACCTAGGGCTATATATGTGTAGCGGTGGACTTTTCGAGAGACCTGACCTGTAGGTAATTAATAAACAGATTTCATGTTTTGTGATTGGAATAATAATGGGCTCAACTCGCCAAAGAAATAGAGAAAGATGTTTTCCGTCTTGTTACGAGCGTGGGACAAAGAAAAAATTCTGAGTCCCCATGAGGAATCAAACCTCAGACCTTCGAATTCCGCGCTCCTATGCTCTACCACTGAGCCACAGAGACTCTCTAGTGAGCAAGACCCAGATTTCATTTTGCCGTGCCTTTGTGCAGTGTCAGACATACGAGGCTCATCCGAACAGACTCGCGGTAACATTTAACATATTTTTCCTACCTAAGATAGACATAAAAAAAAATGTTAAAGGCGATGTCATCTGCGTATCTGTCTTCGAATAGATCAAATTAAGTAATTTAAACAAATAGATTCTATGCTGCCGTGCTGAGTGTGTCACTGATATCCATAAGACAATTTATGAACGATTTTTGTGATCTATTACTATACACAGCCACGGTAACCTGGAATCTATTTTTTTTGATATGATAAAAAGCAAAATGCTGACGTCATCTAAGCACTTGCCCTCCAATAGATCACAAGTGAGAACCAATCAAAATGGATTTAAAAGTCAACTTATCATATGAGATTCAATTGCATTGGAGTAACATGTTCTTCAGGGGGAATAGTGATACCCTGTACTCACTTCATGCTTCCGAAGCCATGATAAACTCCATCGGGATGAGCTCGTGTTCATTCTTTTCTCTTTCGTGTTCTCCCAGGTTGTTTGGAAGAACTCCAAACAGATCGGAGCCGCTCAGCAAGTAAGGGGAGATGGAAGGCTTGTTGTGGTGATTCGCTATAATCCCCCAGGAAACTTCATTAACGACGGAGCTTTCGCTGCAAATGTTTTGCCTGCCCGACTTGATAATGGATCCGGAGTTTGTGATGTGCGTTCTTCTTCGGTTTTCACGGCTTATCTGGTTGCTCTTGGACTTATTTTCAATTTTCCCTATTGATGTATTTATTTGAGCAACACCTTGATTAAGGAGTTTCCATCTTTAGGCTGCAGATGCACAACTTTATGATATCCTATTCAAACACGATTGAATAAATTTGTAAATGAACTCATTGCAAACGTTAACATTTTTAGCCTTTATATAAGTTGCATCAATGATCTGATTAGTTGCTGTTGTATAGTGATGTAGTTTTATTGCATTTGGAAGGACAGGATGCAGCTCTGTATAGGCGTCAGAAGTAGAGATATGGTCGGAGAATTCCTAGTGCCGAAATTCATGTAAATGACATATTGCATACAACTGAACGCAACCGTAACATGCTAAGAAATGCTAGAAAACTACAAGTATTACTCTTTATGTAAAGGGCGCCAGTCGGAATTCTGTTCGACAAGCCTTTGATTTTATAATTGATAAACGGTACGGTACTCTGGTTCTTGTGATAAACAAGTTTCGTTTTCAATAAATTTTCATCGTACACATTACACATATCATCTTCATTTTTGTGTAGAACAGCTTTGACAGTATATTTGCAAACAAATTATCGTCAGTTAGATGGGAGCTTTCACGTTTCGCCGCAATAACAACAAAACTTAAATTACATAAATTCGCTGTGCTTAATTACAAATAAAGTTGAAATTCGACTTCCAAACGTAGTCACTTTCAATGAAAAGGCAATTTTATATCTGTTTTGTCCATGTCATTTATGGCTTTTTTGAAAGTTATAAAAATTTTTACTTGTTTCAGAGCATAAATAAAAGTTTTAACGAGCATGAGTTCGTCCCTGAGGTTTAAGTTACTTGTTGCCTGTAGACAGGGTTTTTTTTATGGAGGGGGCGGGGGGGGATAGTCGTAGGTTGCCTTTAGATCTCAAAAGGCGGCTGTATTTTTAGTGTGACTTTTCGTATTGGTATTACTTCATCAACTTCTCATTTTCACAAGAACTTTAGAATTTTCATGGGCCAATAGATGCCTTGACGGTATTGGTGCACTTAGCATGAAGCAAACAATACATTATGAATTTAGATATCGAAAAGTGAACACGGAATCTGTTAAAACAAAATTTTCACATTGTCGAAGGTGTTTTCGTTCTTTGGTCGACACGACACCATCACAGCTGGAAAACTGAACAAAAAAACATGCAGATTATAGGAACCGTGCTTTTCGTTACAGTGTTTGTCATAAACAATGCACTTTATGGAGGTACGTTTATTTTGCATCATGGTTAAGTTAAGCTGATAACTAACTCTTTCATGATCATAATTTCCCTAAAGATAACTAGTCACCATCGGAGGAACTGGTATCAATCTAAATAGATCATGGATAGGTTGAGACTCGAATATTATACTAAAGAAGGAGAAGATTGTGAATGAAGCAATGTTTTTTTCACCACAGAAACAAATATAAGGATTTGCAATTTCAACCAGCTAAAAAAGTCAACATAAAATGTTCTTAAGATGCACAAAAATATCGTTATTGAGCATACACGTTTGAATTTGATATCTGGCACGCGTGATCCAAAAGATTTCCTTAAAAGGGTTTTGATACTAGTCGTTTTCATAAGCAGTTTGTTAGGAATTTACGTCCTCATTTGCTTTTAATTTCAAATATTTAACGCTCGAGAAGCTATTTGAGTACTAAAAATTAATAGCGGAAATGATGAGTCATTTTGTTTCGAATAACGTGCGTAATCTTTAATTACAACTTTCAGTTTTCCTGTTGCAATCAGTTAGTTTCAAAACTGGTAAGACAGTTTACAACGCGTGCTGCATGGTTCCAAAAATGCTGAATAAAGAATTCTGGGATCATCTTGCTCTGTTCCCTAAGCTAAAAGGGGAGACAGTTTTAAATTCGAGCATTTTCATATCACGTTTATACTGTTTATGTAAATTTTATTTGCGTCTCTGTTTACCACAGGTAGTTCCACTCCATCGTTCAAAGAACAGTGTCTGAAGTGGCATAATGCATACCGTGAATTACATCAGGTAATTAAAAACAATCGGGACTTTTCTTGATCAAAATCATGTCACTCCGCTTTCTCACATCAGACTTTTAAAACAAAACCTAACGCATGTCCAAGACTGCTTCCCAAATTTGAAGCGTTTTTTTTTTTCACGCTAAACATATTCGATACATCAATTTGCACGGTCGTTCTAAAGGACAGTAATTCATCGCTCCTCCTAAAAATATCAATTTGTTGTCAAGGACCATTTTGGTTTTATGAGATATTGTATTGGATAGTTTATGTCTTGTGGCTTTTAACGAAATGATCTTGGTTTGCATCTAATAAAAGACGATTCCAAAAGCTCTTTTCTTTTTCATCTTTGATTTCTTTCGTGCATTCGCGTCGAAATCAAACACGCGCGTTTTATGGTAAGCCCATGGTAAAATAAAACTGGCGAAAAATAATTTATTTTTTGGTGATATGATTGGTTGATTGATACAAAGGAGAAATTATCTTTAACTCATCTAAGAGCTCTTCACGATGAAGTGTTAACTACCTCAAATAAATTCCGGTTAATATATTGGCCAATCAGAACACATTTAAATATCGCACATATCCAAAACCAGAGAACACAAGCTACATAAAAGTTTCCGAACTCGTGCTGTTATGAAAAAGTCTCAATTAAAATTGGCTTTGCATCTGCTCAGTTGAGATGTTGGCACGAGTTCCTAAACCAATCATAAAATGTGTATGGCAAAGCAAAACCACCCTTTATAAAAATTTGCTAAAATCCGGATTACTTGACTTGTTCCTAGCCTTTAAGCGGCGTGAAATTGTACAAACAAATTATAAAAGTCCAGACTATGCATATTCGCCTCCCCAACAGGTGCAGAATGTGACGTGGAATGATACTCTTGCGGCCAATGCAGAAAACTGGGCAAACTATCTGGCAACAAACAATCTTTTTGAACATGCCAAAAATATTTGGGAAGGAGAGAATCTGTACCTGTCCGGCTCCCCTCTGCCTACGGAGCCCTGCACTGAGGCAACGCAACTATTCTACCGAGAAATCGACAATTATGATTTCAGCAAGCCTGGATTCTCTTTGAAAACAGGGCATTTCACTCAGGTATTCTTTCATAATTTTTTTAATGCGACGGATTCCCTGTTTGTCATTCATGTGGAAGTCACACGTTTCTATCCTCATTCTCCCAGATTAATTAATGATAAAAACGTTTCTTTTCTTTTTATTCATCAAGCATATGGACAATTTTAAATTTGAATTTCCTGTTCCCTTTTCCACCCCACATCACCCAGAACCAGAATCGGGGTGCCTTCTCACAAATGAGCCATTTGAAAATCAGGACCTCTGGAAAAGGACTCGCCAGTATTTTTCATCCTAGTTCACAAATAAGAAAATCGATTTTTTACGTTCTCCTTATTTGTCTGAAAACTTCCAAAAACCACAACAATAATACGAGGTTACATCACATTTAACCCTTAACACCCTAACATCAGTATGCATATTCTCCATATATTGGTATGTGCTCAAAACCTCTGTTTTGCCCAAAAATTGTGCAAAAAAGGCAAAAATTGTTCGAGGTCACTAGAACCGCAAAAAATTGCTCCAAAAGCCAAAAGTTGCTTAAAAGGTTGCCGAGCACAATCAGGACAGCCCTACTTGTAGTACATCATCTAAGCTTTCTGTTCTTCATTTTTTAAGGTCGTATGGAAAAACACCAAAGAGATTGGAGCAGCAAAGAGAATCAGAAATGATAGCAGGCTTGTGGTTGTGATTCGGTATTTCCCCCCCGGAAACTTGATAAGCGGGAAGGAAGCTTTCAAGAAGAATGTGCTTCCAATACCTGAGAGGGAGAGGGGTGGGGCGATTGAAAGGCGTGCTTCTTTGGCATTAACTGGTTTTGTTTTCATTGTTGGAACTTGCTGTCAATTTCTTTTCTAAAAGCATTTCC